ATCCTAACTTCTTAATAGACCAATCTTAATGTATATGCTACTAAAATTTACAGACAATTTCATTTTCATTCTTAACACTTTCAGTCAAGAAAATTGGTGGCCATCTGTGTAAGAGAATCAATGTTATGTTATATTATTAATCAATGTGTACTAAATAACTGAGAACTCAACTTCTAGGTAAAATAAGACTGCATGAGCTTGCTGCAAAGTCATTTTCTTGTACAATGTTAAGCTTGCACTCTTTGCTAGGCCTGACAAATGAGTTAAAAGTTGAAATGTAGTTTTAAGACAGACTGCTAAACAAGGTTAATTTTTAAAGATAGGATGTGCCAGAATGTGAAATGAGTGCTAGCATAACAAAACTGGGGCTCAGCTTGCAGATAAAACAGTTTCCAGTGGCTTCCAATGCTATTTCAGCATAAAACTGATCCTGTCTTTTTCCTTTAACTTTCACACTTTCAGCTCTTTAACCTCGGCAGAGGAAGATCCCCAAGAGGTTTTGTCTGTTTAAAAGTTCTCATCAAGAGTTTTTCAAACTACAAACTATTCTATCATTGAATTAAGTGTACACATATATTAAATGTGCTGAAATAGCAAAAAATAACATAACTGTGCATTGAGATGTTCATGAAAAGCAATGCAAGTTTTCCTTTCAAAATGAAAAATATGGCATTACAGTACCTTTACTTCACAAGAGAATGATTTCATATATAAATGGATGCAATCGAGAAATGTTCAGGCAACCGCATTGCTTCACTGGCTGAACATCCCTAAGTACATTATAATTTAGGTCTTAAGGTTTAATTAGCAGAATACAGTTTGGGCAAATGAACAGCATGGAGGTGCCAAAACATGCAATTCTAAAAATAGAAGCCCATAAATCTTCCCGCTGTGGTGCACATATGCATCTGTACAGTATCTGATGGATTGAAAACTCTGCCTGAGAACAGCATTAAGATTCGCAGCAGCAGAGGAACTCGACTGAACAAATTTCATAGGGCAGCAGGAATTTATCATGTTTGTTCTGTCAATGTAACTCACATCTCACTCACTAAACCCCATAAAGGAGCGCAGGAAGCAAAGAGAGAAAGGCAGAGGAGAGGAAATGGAGTGATATCAAACAGGGATTTTTTAAAGAGATTTATACATAAGCTACTTTGAGACTACACTGCTTCTTGAGAAAGCAAGAAAATGTAAAACAAAAGAACCATTAACTAGTATATTGTTTTTATTTTGCACTATGTTTCATGACATAGTGCTTTTTTAAGGTGCTCTGTCAAAATACCAATTCCCAAACCTTTTCAAAGGAGCGCATACAGTATTTCCACCTGAAGAGAAGTAGATCATAAACCCATAAGGTGTGCTCCTACAGCAATTGCTTTGACAGCTCTTAGGACAGTAGCCAACAGAAATGTTTTCTTCAGAAAAAGGATATAAAATGAGTCTATCCAGTCTTTCCTGTTCTTATTTGGCCTTTGTTTGAATCATGGTGCCTAAAAAACAGTCTTCCTTTCCGGATAGGATAGATTTGCTCTGAGTAATTGGCAAGTAGAGGTATGAAAAATCATACCTTGATTGGCTTCAAGATCATTATATAAACCCTAGCTCAGAGGAGTCCATATGAGAGAGAATTTTCTGCCACCGTACCCATCTGAAGATGGTAAGTAAGCATCTTTGGTCTGCCTTATTTATCAAGGTGACAGTATTGTTTCAACCACGAATTCTACCAGCTAGGTTTCATCATTGGGGGTAGGATTTGTTTTGGAAGTGTAAAGGTGAGAGTGAACTGCTGTTGTTGAACTCCAAAGGACGTCTGAGGACATGTGCAGGATATGCCATGGGGCAAATGACTTGAAGATTATGAGGAACAAATAAGATTTAGTATCAAACTCCAGATCAGTAAGCATTGTGGGTTGACTTTTTGGAGCGCAAACACTTCCTAGGAAATATTCAAATCATGTCTGTGTAGACAGAGATCCCCAAAGGTGATTTTTCATTGGCATATCACTGTGGTGAACTTTGCAGTCAGTGTCACCAGACTGTTAGCAGCACACAGTTCACTGTACAGAGACGTGACAGATGGTGACTCTAACTCCTGTAAGACAGCAGGAGCAGAGCTGATATCCCAGTACAAAGCCAACTAGCTCAGCATCAACACAGGACCTGACAAAACATTTCTGCACAAATGAGCTAACCAGATATGGAAGGAGAGCCTTCTTGTCTCTCCTTTGCAGGGAGACTTAGGGCACAGTTTCTCCCTCAGTGCAGAGAAGCTCAGGTATGGAAATCTGTATAACCTGCAGAAACAGAAGCAGGAGCAGCTGCTCCTAAGCTGTTACAGAGCAATCAAGCAGATTAGAGAGGTGCTAAAGACCAAACAATTTTCTCTACATGGTGCTGTCACATACAAGTCTCTTAACAGCTCTGCACCATGCTCCGTTTTCCACTGTACTGACGTCCTAAAAAACTGCTCCTATCTTAAGTGGATAGTGCTTACCATGGCTGTGCAGTGGCAAAACTCCAGAGGCCCACCCTGTCTTCTTAAGATTCTTGGGCATAAATAGGTTTTCCCCGTTTCCATGTGTTTTTTTAATGTGCCTTTGTTATTTTTCTAAATAAAAAGATTGCAGTGAATCCATAATCTCAAGGACTTCTTGAACTGTACCAGGGGAATGGTGTCTCCAAAAGTAACCACAGAAAGTGGATTTAAAATTCAAGGAGCTGCAAGGCAGGAATAATGTACCAGAATGGGGTTCAAACCTTTATTTTATTGAGAGAAAGTCCTTTTGTGTAATCTGATTCAAGTAGTTTTGCCTCTTATTGACATCTGACTAAAGATTCCTGAGCTAAATAAATGAGCTCTCAGAATGATTTTAAGAGAGATTAGGTGTTTCTTGGACCTTTTCCTGAGAAAACATTGCTTTTGACTAATGTCTTAGAACCTATCTCACAGCGATCGCAGTAGAGGAAAGACAGTGAAGGATTGTGTGGAGTAAAGCATGTGCCTTCAGCTGGGTTTAATAACAGATCAGGGCTTTCTGCTGCGTACAAAATGGAAAGTAAGCTCAGTGGATGCTCTGTCTGCCTGTGGAGCTGTTTCTTTGATTCAAGAGAGTGGAATAAGTCTTACTTTTAAACTTTTTAATTAAGACAAAGCTTGGTGGGATTTTTGTTTCATTGGTTAGGTTCTCCCCAAAAAGACTATTTTAGGTGTAGACTGTTCCGGTCTGTACAGGAAAAAAACACAGTCTCCAAATAGACCTGACAACTTGTCTTTTTTTCAGACATTTTCTTAAGTACAGGCTAACTGGAATGTAAGAATCATCTATAAAACAGCCTCCTCATGTGTTGATGTGTGAGAAAAAGCTCAGTACCTCACATCTAAAATTCTACCTTACATTGTCAGAAAATGCAGATTGAGAGCAATGATTTAGTGAACAAACACTTCAACCTATGTTGTGATATTTCATTCCAAAACTTCCCTGGATGACCCCACATATTTAAAAGCAGTATGAAATGTTTCCTTCTAGTCAAATTATTTATTTTGAATATTTTTTTAATATTCCTAAACATAACTGTCTTGTGACAGCATGCTGAACAGATATGCAACAATTTATTTCGCCATTTACAATGAGCAAATTTCACTAAATTCATTACAGGTATTTTCTGCATTTTAAGGAAACAAGAAAGATTGGGGTCATCAACATAAAAATACAACATTTGCAGCTTGCTATCTCTACTACTATATTCTTCCTAAAGAACATTTCTAAATGGGGGAAACAACTGGTATCACCATAAAATAATAACCCACACCATCAGGTGTAAGTTCATACAAGCTTGGAGCTGTAGGGTTCATTTTATGTTCATTATCTGGGGGTGGGGTTTGGACTCCAATTTCTTGCTGTTGCCATATCTCAACGACCCCAGAGGTGCTCAGAAATACACTGAGAGTAATTCACATAAAACATAGAGACAGGTTGGACCAATTTGGGGCACTATTTTCAACTGGATTCTCTTTTCTGTTCTCTCTCAACAAACTCTTCTCTTCCCCATTCCCACTCTCCGTGTTCTTTGTTCCTGAACACAAATGAAAAGAACAAAGCAAAACCAAAGAAAATTTGTGAGTGCAGTGCTTCTAATTCTGCTGTAACCCACTGCCTGACCAGCAGCTGCTGTCTGGCACTGTGGCTGTGCTCTGCTGCTTTAACAGTTTGAAGAAAAGTAGGTTAGCACCCTTGCTATTATTAATACCTCATCAAAAAGGACATGAGAGCAATCAGAGAGAAGAAATGAGAGCAGGTGGGAGGGGAGGTGTGGAATGAGGAAAAAGGTGTCAGGGAACCATTTGTTCATTCTCTGATGACCAGCCAGTTGTTTTCCTAACCCCAAAGAATGAATAAGCCCTGACAACAAATCCTGTAATACTAATGACTAATTGCATATTATTTGGCTGCAATTCCCCTGTGATAATTCAAGATGGACAGTATACTATGTCATGATAAATGCTGTTAAGGATATAATCTTCCCCATTCTGCCAGTTTGGTTTGCGTTATGTCTAGAGAAAGATGTTTGCTGGAGAGAGAAGAGGAAGCACATAAATTCTCCTTCTAAATCCCATATCTTTTCTCCCTTTCTATGAGCCTCACATTCAAGTTAGTTGTATTCATAGCCAACTAGTCAAAGGTGAGGGCTGAACTCTCAAAAGGGATGAGAAAAAATCTGTTAGGTTGAAAAATCCATAAGGCATACAGTGACCAAGAATAAGAGTCACTATGATTTAATAGATCATTAACCTACACAGCATAGACACTAACAGGCCTAGAAAACTCAAAGAGGAAATTGTTTGCCTATTATCACACATTTATTAAAAGGCACTGTTTGTCTTTTCCCAAGCAGATTAAGGACTAATCCTTCTTAGCTCTAAATAAAAGAAAGTTTTCCCAAATAAAATGGCGTAATACAAAGACCAAAACAAAAACTTAAGGAAAAAAAATACCTACTGCCTACTGTTCAACATCAGTTTGAGGCTCCTGTAACATCTCTGTGTTAGGTGGCTTCAGCAATTTCTGTCCCATGGTTCAGCTGTTTGCAGGAGAGAAGTAATAGTGGTGAAGCACTCTAGCTAAAAGAGGAGGAAATTTCTGTCTCCAGATCCCGTGTTGTCTTGGTTCCTTGTAATGCCCAGCAAACAGCAGGACAAGCACAGCAGGCATGGCAGGGGGGCAGGGAAGCAGCTCTTGAGTTTCCTTGGCAAACGTCCATAAAAGCACAGCCTCAGGGCACAATCACTGGTGTGGCAGAGATCCAACCCAGCAGGGGAAAAGTGAGTGAGCCTGCCAGGCTGGCTGGCTGCATTGGTTTGCTGTGCAGTCAGGTAATTGTTCAGGCAAATACAGAAGTGCTGGGATCTACAGGTGGGAACTGGGCATCAAGAATAGGGCAAGGGTGTCTTGGTGGATCCACAGAGGGGAGAGCAGGACAAGGCTACTCAAAAAAGCAAACTGTGGGATGTGGTAGCTGTCCAGTCAACTGCACTCTGAAGAGGGGGCCTAGGGGTACATTTGCCCCATTTCTCCTGATGAAACTGCCATAAGGAGGTCTGAAAGTCCCAGGGCTGCATTTCATGCTCCCTGCAGGTGAGCTTTTGCAGTGCTTGGAGACCTAGGCTTCACATTGAGGCATCAGTGCCATGATGCAAATAGAGTCAAAGCTGTGATTCCCAAGGTGACTCCTAACCCAGTGATCCAGTGGTCTCCCCAGCAGTTGTCATTTAGGTGAAGGACCAGAGAAATACAGTCCAAAAATGGGGAGAAGTTGTTTCCATGGAAGACACAGGTGTGAGTTCAGAGATTTCCAACACTGGATTCACCACAGAGGAAAGCACGTAATGGAACTGCAACTTAAATCCATTTAGTGCTCTGTCAGTCAATGGGGTTAACTTGAATTAACCTCTGTGTGTGGAGTTCAACTAATGAAAGCTCCAAAATTCCTTATACTGAACCTCTGGTAAACTTAAACTGACAGGCTTTTTGTTTTATTGTAGGTCTTTTTGTTTCGTTGCAGGATTTTTGTGTACATGCTATCTCATAATCAATAGTTGTACTTTGCTGAAAAAACAGAATAAACACTATGTGCTTTAGGGAATAAAGTGGGTTTAGCAGAATTGTTGAGCAAATGTAAAAATTCCAACTACTCAGCTTGTGCCTATGAATCCACAGTAATAAACTTGTCCAACTCCATGAATTCTCAGCAAGCTGCAAGACTTAATCTTTAAATATGTACACACACATATATATATAAATGACACTGGTGAGCCCATTCATTTTGGGATGGAAGAGGCTTATCTCCTTCACAAAAGGTAATCAATGTGGTGCCAGTCTTCCTGGGACTTTGTGTACACAAAATACCATCCTATTGGTGCTGGACATCATGGCAAAACCTGAAATTAACCACTTGCACGAGTCCCTTCAGTCCCTGCTAGTTATCGCTATCAACAACAGACACTAAAATTGGAAGCTCCACTGTCCAAGGTTGAAATTGATTTCCAGATAGTAAAACAACTATGCCAACTTAAAACTGTTTCCCATAAAGCTTCTCTAGTGCGATGCTTCATTCTTTAAGGATGAAATAGGGTGTGAGTAAGAGGGTTCCTAGCTTTACATACTGCATTTGTCAGATTCACTTTTTGAATACTTTTTATGCAAACTTTCTTCTCATGACAGGATTTTTCCAAGCTTTTTTACATTCAACTGCATTTATCTATACACACTGGAATGCAGCTTCAAGTTGGGAAATCACTAAGAGACAGATCCTACAGGATGCAGAAAGCTGCTTTCTGGGCCACCTAAAACATGATTCCAGGTGTAGGAACAAAAATTACATATATATATATATATATATATATATATATATATATATAACTTTTTTATTTGGACCTATGTTTTATATTATTATTTATTTTAAAAGCTCAGTACACAGTCAGTCTTTTTTATTCTTTATACATGAAATATTCCTCCCATGTGGTACCTGATATATTTTAGAGTTCATGTCCTAAATATGGTTCTAATGTTTAGGAGTTGCTAACCAGGGACTGTGAAGCCTTGATGAGATGCCAGATGAGACGGATGTGCTAGAGCGTAAAAGACAAAGATTTGTTCAACAAGTTGCAATAGGATTTTTGATTGGGATGAGAACACAGGCATTTCACTGGAATATTTTGGGTTGATTATTTATTTAATAATTCAAAAAATCACTATAATAATGTCCTAAAGAGACCTGCAGTGAGCTCTGTGGGCAAAAGAGGAGCATGGGTCAATAAGATAAACATCTGTTAAATGCCCCTTTTTGTCAATAAAACACCTTCAGAAGCTACTCTGCCAGACCCACTATTGGTGGTTAAAAGAGATTCTGAGCCACTGCTATCTAGCCCTGTAATTTAGACTCCCGATGCATTACTGCAACAACAACGAAGAGAAAATGACACTCAAAGACATGAAGTTGGATGCCAGTAAATGCCTCAAAGTAATTTATTATTAAAGCTTGACAGAAGAAGGAGAAATGTGAGGAATAATGCCAGAAATCAGATAAACAATTAGTAAATATAGCTGGACTACATCGCCATTTCCTGTCACCTTCACTCAAGATGCTGCTTACAGTAACTGAAAGTGATAAAATCCGGCTTACTGTATTTTAGAAAATCCTTTTGAAGTTATGTTCTAATGTATTCGCCTTTCTACAGTCAGACTGAAATAAATTTGAGTACTGTGAAGTTACATAGTTCCAGATAGAGATTAACTGAAAATGCTTCTTCATCACTTTGATACAATAGTACATTACACAGCTACTAGTTAAAACTCAGGGACATAACTCCAGTAGCCAGTTGTTGAACACAGATGAAAATGTTAAAACATGACCTCTTTAAAAAAAATTTCTGTCCTCAATCCATCTCACATTGCCCTGCTCTTCCATTTCTATTTGCAAATTCAGATGATCACTGAAATAAATATTACTCCAGGGAAGGAAGTAAAGATTACAATAGCCTTAGCATCCCAAACGTTAAGGTCATCCCCACCATTATTAACATGATGGTTTCTTTTTCTTTCTATGTTTATCAAAATGTTCCCTAGGAAGTGTTGATGTGTCTCATGACTCTAAGATGCTATGTCTTTTTACCACTTCTCTGCTACAGCTGATAATCTGACTAGAAATAATAAAAGATAGTTAATATTTAATTAAATGACTGCTGGCTGAAGTTTAGAAATATTTTTCTCCATCACTAGATGTAGAAAAATGCCTCTTTTAAAAATTACATTTTTGCAGCTTTAAAGTTTTGGGGTTTATTGTTTTTAAATGAAAAGGAGCAAAAGCATTTCTACATCAAGCTCACAAATTATGTGGAGCAAATTGAAACATATTTTGGGTACCTGTCTGAGTAATAGCAGAAGCTGGTTCAGGTCCAGACTATATTTCCTTTCTGTACAATGGATACAGCCTCAATACCACTGATTTTTCCTTTGATTGCAATACTAACAGAGGCTGGGCACTGCTTAGAACATATTCCTCAGCTGATACACTAAGGTCAGCACATAAATATCAGGTAAGGGAATGCAGAGTAGAAAAGTACACCAAGGTCTCGATAACATGGCTGAGAATGGTTGAAAGGATGAATCAGGCCTGCTTTCTCCTACCCAGTTCTGGTCACACTGCTCACAGAACCTTCTGGAACACAAACTGCCACAACTGTTGCACTGTTTTCCCAGAGGAACACACATCAGTGTGTATGGGGCATATCTTACTGCCAGGTGACAGTATTCCAGAAAAAATCAGGAGATTACCAGATTATCAGAACATAAATCTATGCTGTTTTAGATTAGACATTGTTTTTTGAAGGCACTAGTGAGGGGAACTAAGGGGCCATGGATCAAATTCAGTAATTAAAAGAGTAAATTAAATTCACTGGGGCAAGTAACGGAGATTCAAGACATGTCAAAGAGAGAAATAAAAAGCAAAAGGATCATAGAGGGATAAAGAGAAAACGGATCATGGAAATCTATGATTCAGTTAATAATGGACCTTTAAAGGGACAAAGGAGCTTTAAAGTTAAAGGATAGCAAATTAGATCCAAGAGTGAAAAAGCAAAGGAGTGGCTGAACACAGGAAGAGGCATGGCGTACCCTGAGGCAGCAACCTCAAAGAAGATGAGCATGCAAAATAACAAATCAAAGAGAGAATCAGGTAAAAACTGTAAAATCTGCCTTAGTTCATAGCCTAACAGCATCCATTTCATGCCATGTATGGGGCCAATGTGATTAATTGGTTAGAGCACAGTGCTAATAATGCCGAGGTTGTGGGTTTGATCCTCATATGGGCCATGCGCTCAAGAGCTGGATTCAATAAAATTTGTGGGTTCCTTCCAATTTAGAATATTCTGTGAAGTGTCCTGAAACCTTCCAGATAGTGAGAACTTGTAGTTCTCCTCTACTATAGTGTGCTACTTTCTATCTTAAATGCTGACAAGACATAAATTGGAAGCAAAGGGATCCTCTTGGATTTTCTCAGTGCCTTCATGTCACAGACATCTTCTCATTAAAAACCTTTCTTTAGGATTTTTCCTGCTAAAGCTGAGAAAGAAGTTTCAGCAACAAATGTAAACAATAGTTATCTGCTGCTGTGGAATGCAACAGGTGGCTCCGTGATTGGTCTCCTGGGGATGTTTGGATTTACTGACCACTCACGGCAGAGCTGCTCTCGCTCTCTGCCTGGACACAGATCTTTGTTATTCATTTTATTCTATTCTTAGCTTAGCTAGCCTTCTGAGAACTTCTCTCTCTTTTTAGTATAGTTATAATGTAGTATAGTTATAATAAAATAATAGATCAAGCCTTCTGAACATGGAATCAACATTCTTGTCTCTCTTCATCCTGAAACCCTTGTGGCCACCATCACACCTTCAATGCCTATTTTTAAGAGACATTAAAGGTTATGAAGGAAGCTACATTTATATTTCCAGCCTACGTCATACAAAAGCTTTGTCTCCAGAAAATTTAGTCTTGTGTCCTTGAAAGTCTGTAAGGGTTCTTGTTTCCTGAGCCTGGAAAGCTTTGAAAATGCCAATTGGAGAGTTTCAAGGTTGACTGCCACTTGACCTCACTGATTTCTATGAATTCCTCACCAG